GTATTAATACCAGCGCCTGAACAAATTACTCAAAAACAGCGACAAATTTAATGAGCAGACGAAGGTCACAAGAATCATGTACATTAAATATTTGCAAATATAGCCCCGTTTAAATCCAGCCCAAGTAACGTTTCTGAGTGGTCGGGGACCGAAAACATCTGACATTCCTCTTAAGCTGTTGACCTCGTAATCTGAAAAAAATAGCGAAAGTAACGGTGGATATGAATTTAGATGCAGCTAAGTTCCTCAAAAATGAGGAAAACGATATCAGTAGCGTGGAGGAACAAACATCTGAGGTGTGGCTGGAAAATCATTTTAAATGATCGTCAGGGACGGCAATATGGTATATATACCATATGCCATATATATGGTAATCTAAATTCTTAGGCCAGGTAGAAAAATCTTTCTGGAGAGATTATATGCGTAAATTTGTTGACTTAACTATTCAGCTGATAAGTGGTACTGATTGGTACCGCAGTAGGCAGTAGGCAAATACATTTTCTGTTCTTCTACTGTGCTGTTTTCTGAATTTGGCATGGAATTAGGCATGCTTCGCTCAAGCTAATCCTCATCAAAGAGAGTGAGACTGGGAATACAAATCCACAAATTTCGATTGTTCAAATTGTGCATAGCTGGTAATCTGAATGTCAGAATTCTGTAGGATGTAGCAATTTTGTAGGATGCTGAAAAAAGAAGGATTCTTCATCACTGCATTTTGCGAAGTGATGGTCAGTGGCACAAATAAATTCATAATATTGCTAATCATGACGATATAACATATCCACGGCAGGCCATCCATAATTGCTTTGGAAATTAATTTGCATTCCTTATGCCAAATTTCACTGATTGTTCAACAACAAGAGAGGCATTTTCAGTGGACATATTTTAATTCCCTCGCGTTGTCTTATAACAGCTTCAAAGTTCAATGTTGGATGAGAAAAAGAGCTAAGAGAACGGGTAGCGGCAAATCGGCTTCTGTAGGCTAAAGCCGATCGTTTACGGCAGCTCAGTCAATGGCTAAAATTATGCGCGTATTCGACGTTGGTTTTTGTTGATCACCGTGTTATCGGCGAAGGCGCAGATCGACGACAGCTACGATCGGACAACGCAGAAAGAAAGCGAAACTTTCATACTTTGGAACGGTGTACGTCGACGGTCGACGTGTTGCTAGATTCGAGTGTCCACCCTTAGGAACGACCGGAGGAGGGATGTCAGCGACGGAGTACAACGTGGTGTTCCCTCACGATAACGCGATCAAACCCAATGACCCTCGATATCTGCACTTCAGCTACGTGAAGATCAGCCAAATGCAGGCTGAGGCTCGTGGAACGGATGCCGAGCTGCAGCAACAACCCCGGCAGAGATCACCATCGCCCCACGAGGATCCCGAAAGTCGCAACCTGCCTCTCAGTCAATTCAAGGAGGAGGCGAAAATCCAACATTCGAATCACCATTATTTGAAATATTCCGACGAGACGCGTGTGACACAGAGCGCTGCTGGCAAAACCGAACTCGATTCCGAGGTTCATGCCCATACTCCAGCAATGAGTGAAGTCGAAACGGCTGAGCATCAGATGAAGAATGGCACAGCAGGCTTCGCAAACGAGGCTCCAGTTAAGGCTCCAATGCTTACGCCACCCCGGGCCTTGTCTGCAGACGAAAAAGCCGAGGAGGAGCCACGAGGTGAAGTCGATCAGACACCAACGGACATGGTCAGTACGAAGGCGTTTCTAGAGATGGCCTTGAAAAACATACAGACACCTCCGGTTAAATCGGAGGGTAAAGGAATTATGTCCCCACAGCTAACTTCTACCAGCAGTATTCCTGGATCATCTGCAGAGTCTCTGACACCGCCGACAGTTTCTGGAAGTGCCTCAGAACGCGGTAACGGAGGTAAGAATGAGATTCATTTTTTCCTGAAAAGCAACAGCTGCATTTCATAAAGTAGTTGCCCCGTTCAGGTTTCATCTAGAACATCTGCCTTCTAACTAGAATAACTTAGATCACCTGGGGAACTGGATCAAATCAGATTAAGCAGTCATATTCCTTACCATTTCTGGATTCAAGACAGGCCCTCATAGCTAAGGTTTTGGCTCATACGGCATTCCATTCTTTGACAGTTCGTCGATCTTCGCCAAAGCAAAGCTTAGCTATGGAAAGACGAGCAATGTTCTGATGGTAAGAAGAAAGATAACTCCTATGTATAAATCTACAGCATATTAACTGCACAAATGTCATACACATAAGCAATTACACAGACCTGCTGTTGTTTAATTTTTAATTGCCCATTTCGTGTAAATCATCGACGGTGCCGGTATCAGGCTTGTCATTAAACTAGTGTTCAGATACATCTTTTGCATTATTCCAACGGGTAAACTTTGAAAGCTGAGTCTACGGTTTCTGTGGAGGTCAAGTGTCTTCTATACACAGCTTATTGCGAAGTTTTAAATTTAAAAAATTTATTTTTCTATTTTCCTTCTCTAGCTTTATGCCTTCATCTTTTAATCAAGTGTATGCATTATATTAGCATCGAAAACGAGAATAAATGACTTCATGGGGAACATAGTTCATTATTAAAATGACTTGAACCGAACATCCCTTAAATGTTATTTCGTTAATAAACGATCAACTATTCGGACCATTCTCAATTCATTTACAGGGGGAAGAGTACTCCATCATCACTAAATACTAAATGATATTTTTTGTACAATACATAATTTAGCCCTCTCAGAGTCGTTCAGTACGACTGGAAACTTCTAGCATTTAGCCATGGAATAATTTTTCAAAAACAACCGGTTTCAGACTATTTTGGCAAAATATTAACACCAAATTTATCAGAAATTAGAACCATTCAGCTTGTCAAGTTGGCGGTGGACCAGGACTAATAGAACGACCTCGCTAAGCAGTTGTCGGCACTGTACAAAACGAATGAATTAAAAATATCATCTCTCCACGCGTAACCCCGACGTCCTGGGATGTCTAGTACGTAATAGCTCTTCAGTTACGCCGGTGATCATAGCGCTCTAATTTTTGATACTGGGTTGACTTAGCATGAGCATACCACTCCCCTGCTGCCAGTGTTATATGGGCATGCGTAACGTTTCGAAGCAGCCGTTTTGACGTATTCTATATGGGTGCAGACCAAGGGATGTTGTCAGCGTTAAGACTCTCGGTTGCCACCATGAATCTGTATAACTGGACAGTGGTCAGCAACATCAACTACTGATCTAGCCAACGCATGGAACATATCACCCACGTCCTCGATGTACAGCGGCGTTTCATTCACTACATCATCCGACGATTCGGAAAATCTTCAAATCTTCAGTCCCCAGTTATTCAGTCAGAAGTCAGTGTTTATATAATTGAACGTTATCATAACAGCGGATCAGGCAAGAAAATCTTTCGTGACTGATCTCGTCAGTCAGTTCATGATATGAATTATCACCGACTTGAAATTATTAGCAACGCGTTTAAAACATTTAGTCATCACTTAAGTAAACTAATTTCTGTTTTATCAATTGCCTTCTTATCTCATCTAGTATATTAGTCTAAAATATTTACAATGACATAAAATTTTATGGTTCCCCAATCTGATGCCATATGTTCAAAACGATTATTACGGTTACGTTCGCAACTAAAGAAACAGCGAGTGCTAAAGAAAGTTGTATAATGATGCTAGACAGAGAGGAAAGCCTACGTTTTGAAAAGGGTAGAACTACGAGAATAAAATATATGGAAGGAGTATGTTCCAGACTGCATTTGTCTTTTGCCGAAACTCAGACTCTGGCACAGGATCGGCAACGTTGGAAGCTCTGTCTAACGCGTCTGCCTCCGCGACCCGAAAGGAGAAGCGGCGATGGAAGATGAAGATAAAGAACTACGAGAATAATTTTTTATAGTGATCGTCACAGTTTCCAGTGTAGTCGGTAGTCTTTCAGAGACTTTCCAAAGGGATCTGGACAATGGATTTAGATAAAAATTTAAAAATAT